AAATACTCTAGGAACAACAAAGCGCTAAAGCGCGTTTGTATAGCGTAAAGCGCTATACAAACGCAGGCCATTTACCATATTATTTCTGCACACCTGCATCTGTATATGTATGAACAGTATATTTATGTATGTAAAAGAGTGTTCTCTTCTGTGCCAAGAGCTACCGAACAAAATTTCGTTATGCACATATTAACAATAAAAGGATTTGTCTTCTTCTTTTTCTTCTTCTTGGTCTTGCAGCCCACAAGATCTGAGCACCTTACAGGTGTTATGGCTCACGAAGCTCTTTGGGGAAAAGAGGCTTTTTCTAGTTGAACATACAGCATTAAACAGATTATAAAAGAATCCAAACAATCACAACCTTTTGACATGTAGGGATTTATTAATCACTTTGTGGGTCATGACTTGTAAGTGTAGGATTAACATTTTTCGAACAGCTAATAGAAGTGGTGATAACAAGTCACCAGAACACAGCTAAACATTTGCTTGCTCACTGGCCACCTGATCATTTTATTGTGACTATAAAAGCTATGTCTGGACAGTGACACATTAAAGAAGCTTAAAAAAAATCTATTGTCTCTGCAGAGAAAGAAAATGAGTAAGGCGTGAATGAAAAATGTTTTCAAGGACAAAACAGACCACAAGAGGGCAGCATTGGTCTACGACAGTACATACTACTAACAGTAAACATTAAAACTTTCTAACAATCAGCAATAAAACCCAAAATTTGAACTTAAAATGATGGATTCCCTGAAGAAAATTTACTTTATGTTAAAATGCCATTAAAAACCTGTGCAGTATAGATTTATTTTCAGACATGGTCATTGATGGGGTATCCACCTATTAATTTCCTTCCATTTATGCAACTCTGGCTAACACAGAGAGACAGATAACCGTGCACATTGACATTCAGAACTACCACACACACATACACAATACAACACAGAAAACCCCACCCTAAACACAAATATTTTATGTGCCTCAAATCTAACTGGGGACAGTAGTCCCAAATCAACTGGTGTGTGCGCTGATATAGGTCCCCAATTTCTACATAAATGAACTCACACCAAACCTCCACATCCACACACAAGTACTGCATGTGCATTCAAAGTCGTTCACTTGCATTGACAGACATGTTCCTTAATTAAAGCAAGATTACATACTGCTTGTGTGTCTGTGTATTTGTGAGTGTGTTGTCAAGTCTGAACATACACATACACTGCTATAAAGCTCCTTCTCTTTCACTTGATGTGTGGCTTTACGTTACTGCCATCTTGTGACCGCCGGTAACATTGTCACTGAAAGATGTGCTTATTTCAGTCTCCTAGGAGACTGGTTTGGCTGTATCCCAATTCAGGGTCTGCAGCCTTAAAGGCCGCATTTTAATCCCATGCAACATGCCAAACCTTGAGAGATGAG